GTGGGTGGGAGCCGTGGCAGCATGGGAGCAGCGGCAGTGGGAACAGAGTTGCTAGCAGACAGGGGACAGGGGCTGTGGTGGGAGGGGACAGCCAGAGTCACGGGGGATGGGCCAAGACCCACCCCTGTGCCTACTGCAGCCTCAAGGTCCACAGTTCCTTTCAAGGTGCACAACTTGTGCACTGGGCCCCTAGTTAGAAATAAACGCGGGCCACCTCTGGGAGGTCCCGAGGAAAATGCGAGCAATGGTTACATCTGGGGAGCATAACCCGGCAGGGAGAAGGAGAACCAACTGGAAGAATTATTTGCCATTTACATATTTTGGAATTTTATTGTGTATGCCCATTGCCTATTTTATTTTTAATTTTATTGTTGAAAGTATTACCTAAGTCCTCTTCTTCACCCATTTACCTCTTCCAACCGGCTCCCACCCCCACCCCAGGGCCCTCACCACCCCTTTGTCTGTGTCCACGGGTTATGCATTTATGCATATGAGTTCATCGGTTGATCTCTTTCCACATTTTAAAAGATAAAGTCACAGCTTTAAAATTTCCCATTATATTGCACTTACTTTAAAGCATTTAAGGTAAGTACTATGGCATTATTATTAGCAGCTATATTGACAGAATTATAAAGCTGTGAATCTGCTGGTCACTCTGTCACTATTAAACTGGGTGATTTTGCCTTCTCAGGAGTATAAAATGAGATTTTTCTTTTAAAAAACGCATACAGAAATTACCAAGCAGAAATAGAAAACTGTGTATATTAAAGGTCTACACTGAGCCATGACCGGTTTGGCTCAGCGGATAGAGCGTCGGCCTGCGGACTGAGAGGTCCCGGGTTCGGTTCCGGTCAGGGGCATGTACCTTGGTTGTGGGCGCGTCCCCAGAAGGAGGTGTGCAGGAGGCAGCTGACGGTGTTTTTCTCTCATCGATGTTTCTATCTCTCTCCCTCTCCCTTCATCCCTGAAATCAATAAAATATATAAAAATAAGTAAATAAATAAAACACTGCTCAGACCTGGAAGGTGGTCTGATCCCTATATCTCCTTCTACTGTCCCTCTCTCGTGCTACCAGAGTTCATATCTATTCCAACTTCCCAGAATTCTGAATTCTACTTTTCTAAGGCAACCCTTTTTCACCTTTGCACATTGCTGTAAATCTTTGTTAATAGATACAGCAAACAAATGTTATTCATGAATTTATTTCGGGCATACAACAAAAACCCTCAGGCCCCCTGATAGTCTACTTCATGTTCAGTGCCATGCGGAAAAAAAAACTTACAAATATGTTATTTAGAATTCTCAAATGCCACACACAGCAGATAAACATACATAAATGCCATATCATTAACTATTATTACTTATTTTACACTTAAATTTATCCTAAAAATAAACAACATGAATCTAGTTCATATCTTAATTATTTCTATACATCTTTATTTTTATTTCTTCTAGGTTACAGTAATACTTATTTTGATGCCTTCTCAGGAAATAATAATCTACTCAAAAGGAATAATTTAGAAAAGGAATACTTTTGCAAACCTGCAAGAGTGGATGTGGTTATCAACCAGTTGATTCTTGTTTGGGGCACAGGATCTGTCTGCCTCTCCCAAATGGTTAAAACCCCAGTTTCCTTTCATAGTTAAGCTATGTTTGTTACATCAGTAAAACCTTTTTTTAATTATTTCTTTTCTTTTCTTTTTTCTTACCTTTTAAGTCAACATCTTCCATTTGGACTTTAGGATTTCATTACACAATACTCTGTCTGATAACATTTTAATGTGTGAGAAAAGCAAGAAGCAAAAGGCTATTGTCTGCTATTTCCATGTAAGAAGTCAGAGGGGCGGAGAATACAGTGTATTTGCTAGTATTTTTCAAAAAGAATCAATGGAAGGACATAAGCTAAAAACTATGAAAATGGGTTACCTAGAAACTATGAAAAAGGGAGGTGATAGGGAGGCTAAAGAGGAGAAATGCAAGCAATATTTCTCATTTTATTGTTTTGATTTTGCATCATGTAATGTTATACATCATTAAAAGAAAAGTTGACCTTCAGTACCAAAAAAAGAATTAATTTAGGTAAAAAATTAATTTTTTACTGAAAATACCTGGTAGGAAATATACATCTTCAAGGCAAAAAGAAGTGCATAATTTTCTTGAACTGAGGTAGTTTTATTGTTAGTGGCCTTGTGGCATTATTCTTCTGACATAAAAATATTCCATTGAAGGACAAAAACAAAATTACATTGAAGGATAAAGCTAAATGAGGAATTATATTAATGTTTATAAGTATCAAGATTCATTAAAAGTGGGTCAGCCAGACCAGGGGTGCCTCTTGGTGGGATGCACTAGGAAGAACACAACACCCCCAATGCAGCCTTTTTGTCACCAAGAGGGAAAAGGGGGCGGGGGAAGAACTTGAATATTGTGCAGGTCTAAGTACAACTTGCAGGAAATACAAGAAGCAGAACAAGTGAAATGATGCCGGAAGAAACCATGAGAATGTGGGACATTTTACATGACACATTATCTGTTTTTATTCAGTAAATAACATAGGGAAAAATAAGAACGAATGATTGTAGATGCATAACAGCCAAGCCAGTGTGTGGACACTGTATGGATTTCGACTTAGAGCCATACGTAAAAAGGCACTTTTGAGAATTAGGGACACCTGAATAGGGACTGAATATGGAATTTATATATCGGAATACAATCAGCACTAGATTATATTCAGGAATTATTGCCGATTTCATTAGGCAGACAGTGGCACTGTGGTACGTGATCTAAAAATCTAATTTCCTGTTAGAGATGCACACTGAAGTATTTACTGGTAAAATAATACAACACCTGGGATTTGTTTTCTGATGCTCCAGCAAAAAAAAGGGTAAGGGGGAAATAATGAACATGGCAAAATGTTGATTATGGCGAAGCTATAGGATGGCATTCTCTCCACTTTTGTGTTATGCTTTGTGTTAAAGATCTTTTAATGCTATGGATGCTTTTTCTTCTTATAACTGCTAAGCCCGTCTGGAGATGTCATTTCCTATGAAATGAGAATCAAGTCTGTGAAGTCAGTTTCCTTCTTCTAGTTGATCCTTTCATCTTGGAA